CGGCTGGCCTCATGGTACTTCCATCGATAGGATGAGCAAAATTGAATGAATCTACTACTAGAACATGGAAATATACACTGCCACACTCGTTTTTCTGTCGTGTGGCATGTGTGTGTGTGTGCGTGTAAAAATTGAATGAATCTACTGCTAGAACATGGAAATAATCCGAAATATACACTGCCACACTCGTTTTTCTGTCGTGCGGCGCGTGTGTGTGTGTGTGTGTGTGTGTTGGGGGGGGGGGGGGGGGGGGGGGGGGGAGAGAGAGAGGGGGGGGGGGGGGGGGGGGGGGGGGGAGAGTTTCCATCGACGCACCGGTGAACAGGTAAGTCTCCAGCGTATGGGAAGGGGGGGGTATTCGTGGGGTTTTCACTGAGACCTGGATGGGGAGTCAGGAGGGTTTGGGTGGGGGTACTGGGGGGGTGTTCCGGACACAAGGTTAGGATAGATTCTGGGGTTAGAGAGGCGTGGGAGGGTAGGGAGGCTGAGGGGAAGCGGGTGATCAAAGAACAGGCGGAGGGGGGGAGAGGGGACGGGGAGAGATTGGGTGGCAATAAAGCTTGGAAGGGGGGGAGCGTTGGTGTTAGCTATGGTAGTGTGACTTCACTTGGTTCTCTTGCTCCGACGCTGATGGCTGTCTGATGGATGTCCGCTATGTAGATGAACAGTCCTCTTCCGCTCCTGTTGTCGTCACAGCATTCCTGCCAGACTCCCCTCTACCCGGGAGTGGCTTCACAAGCCAGCGCCAATGTATCCTTACCGCATAGAAGCTTCGTCAGCGCACCAAGTAACAAAGTCGTCAGCGCCGGTAATGGCAGTATCGAACCAGCTCCGATACCAAATTGCAAGGAATATGAGTGAGAGCCATAGACAGAAAACCAAGTTGCAAGATCACGAAGTAGTCCAGATAGTCATGTACCAAGCAGAGAGCACAATGCACCAAGATACCATCTATATAAGAGCAATACAATGAACTCGAGTGCCAATGCCGACGCTCTCTGGTCACACCAACACTATATCCAATGTCGCCCCTACTGTATGGTGCCCAGCGCCCAGCCTACACTACTCAGCCTATCTATCCTATCTGCGTTCATGCGACTGGATCACATCGAAGCTGAAGACCAATGTATGTGACGTCATCACCAATGCTGACCGCCAGCATACACCAGGACCTGGTACGTTCTCTCCTGCCCCCATCACCCCTTGATTCCCTCTGCATGCGCCTCCTACTCGAAGACCACCATCGCCATCACCTGCACCCGCATGCTCGGCCCAGCTATGGCCGCCATGCGCCCACTGCCACCACAGTGCCCTCTCGCCTCTTGCGCCCGCGTGCTCCCTGGACTGGCCGCATAGCACAGCTTCACATGGCGTAGCAGCAGTGTGGCCGCATTGCCTGCTCAGGCCCAAATCCTCTGCCTGGGCAGGGCACTTTCCTTTATGGAACGTGTGGCCCTGTGGTAGTCTGCGTGGGCCTGTCTGGACGAGTTTCCAGTAGCTTCCAGTCGGGCCCCAGTGTCTGCGCCCAGGCCCCCCTTCACTGTTACGGGCCTGAGCCCTTTACAGTTGGGCAAACCCAAGCGGCCCTCCAGGCTCCAAGTGTTTGCCGCATTCTCATTGGCTTGCGGTGCCTGCGTGACGACAATGCAGCTTTCTGATTGGCCCAGGGCCGATGCGTGATGTGTCGACCTCACACTGCGTGTGCCCAGGGTGCAACCAAACGAGCCCTGGGCTCAACTCCACGTCGCAGCTGCTTCTTCTGGAAGGAGCCAGGAGACGGTCACGTTGCTCTGTAACCAACTGGCATGCTGCAACTGTCTGAATACCCGACATAAGGAAAAATGTCCAGTGTAGGCCTCTCGTGAATATTTAGGCCCGCCTTCACTTAGGGGGGGCACAAGGCTTGCTGGAGCCCGCAGCCCAGAACACTTGCATGTCTGAGAAGGCCCCCCAAGGGGCTCATTCCTCACACGACGCTCCGGGTTCTTGAGGGGTACAGGCAGAGCAAGCCTGGCGGATCTCTTTGGCTGGCAGCGCCTGCCAAAGCAAGAACAGCACTGCACCACTCCAGTTCATTTCATTTTTGGCGACCAGTGCACATCCGCCTCGGCAAAAAGAGGCCCGGAGATGCTGGTGGTTTGTAAGAATCGAAAAAAGTAGTTCGAAAAAGAAATATGTTGTAGAGGGTTCTAACTTCTCATACGATCAAACAGCATTTTTTTTGTTTTTTTTAAGGCCTTGAGATATCATCTTCAAACTTACCAGCCCCAGGAAGCTTCAAAATTATTTGCTCCTCTGAGTTGATTAATATCCGAACCCAGCATGAGCATACGAACTGAGATAGGACCATTGGAACGTTTTTTTTTTTAGAAAACCCTCTTGTATAGTATTCCAATGAAAGTGTGCTTCGAGGCCGGGGACCTCACAATTCAACCCGGAGTTATCCCGGCAGCATCAGCCGGTTTAGCTTATGTAAACAGTTCCTCGGTCCAAAAAGAAAAGGACATCTCATACCTACCTAGGACTTCTCAGAATTATAAGTCTAAGGTGGGAAAGAGAGGGGGGGGGGAGTGGAGGG